TCGTCTTTTTTTATTTTCACACTTACTTTCACATTTATTCTAATTTCCGCATTTCTTTAGCCATTATTTCTTATAAAAAATGACAGCTTTAAAGCATTGATAGCACCTTGCCATGCAAGTATTGGTAAATAAGAAAGGTGACTCATCATCATCATCAATAGAAACCTACACCCTCCCCTCAGACAAAACCAGATAAATCAGACAAATCCGCCCTTGAATATAACACGAACCACCTCTACAATAATAGGTTTTTCAGTGGGTGTGAGACATCGAGAACGTGTTCATGGCATTTGGGCATTTACATTGTCACTTAGCAAAAATGGAAGAATGGGACATAAGCAAAAGTTACTGCAGACAAAAAAACATCAGGCACCAGCCACATTTATTGCTCAAAATGCATTGAAAGACAATTAGTGACACAGTTCCATTAAATATATGCAGCATCAGTACACATGGCATGCATGAAAGACTTGGCGGCTTGCACAGCTTTCTGCTGAACACAGGGGGCAGAAATTTGTTCAAAGAAACAAGCATCACAAGACAACGACGAGACAGTCAGAATGTTTACTGACATTGTGGGCACATGTGCACAACTTTATATCTCTTTAGGCATACAAACCGCTTAAGGCAGCCTCTAACCTACAAATTTCTATTAGCCGGTTCAGGTAAAGTCCTTCTTCATTGCCAAATGCTCTACATGCCTGTTATCAAAGCCAAAGAAATTATTGTGCATGACACATTTCTAAAAAGACACGTTCATTACCAGCATACATCACTGTTCATTCATGTAAGTGTAATGAATGTTAACTATGCATATGGCAACAAATCAAAGAACCTTTGACTGCCAATGTGGTGGCAGAGATTCCAGCAATTGGGAACACAAACAAGCATGTATTCTAACTAAATTGTAATGCTCTATTCTGCCTACTATATCTACCAAGCAAGAAAGATTCATTCTGCCTCCGTTGCAAATGTTTATGGCATAAATTTTACCTGAACAATTATTGATGAAAAATAGACAGGGCAATAATAGGCAGACTGTAAGCTTTTTCTCTATATGTAGCTTATTTCTACTGAAGCACCTTATGACATTTACAATTCATACAAAAAGTGTGTATTTCTGAAAACTTAACTTCCCCAAAACAGCAGTTAGATTTAAAAATGCAAGATGGTGCTTAGGTCACAATATGCTATTCAAGCACTGATAAACAGACACATAAGTTGTAATTTATATGTAGGGTTTAACGTCCCAAAACCACCATATGATTATGAGAGACACCACAGTGGAGGACTCTGAAAATTTCGACCACCTGGGGTTCCTTAACGTCCACCCAAATCTGAGCACACAGGACTACAACACTTCTGCCTCCATCGGAAATGCAGCCGCCGCAGCCGGGATTCGATCCCATGACCTGCGGGTCAGCAGCGGAGTACCTTAGCCACTAGACCACTGCGGCGGGGCAGACGCATAAGTTGTATGCACCTTTGCAAATATGCTAGCCCATGACATGGGTACCATAACCAATAATGGTAATCAGCAAGTCCTAATTAAACAACCACTGCACCATGATCGAATGTACACATTGTGTAATGCACACGGTGTTAAGTAGTGCCCAAGGTGCACATTTTGACATTCAGTTATGCTGTAATAGCAACTGGCAATAGAACTATGAATACAATATGCCTAAAGATTTAAAAGTACAGACACACTTCCCCTGAGACACTATGGGCAGCTATCATGCACAGTAAATTAAAGCAGTTCATCATTAGATAAATTTGAAATGGTGTTAGGGTAGCCAGCAGATGAGTGTTTACTCTCCAAAACAAAACTGCCACAACAAGGTACACAGGAACAGGCTCTGTGAGAGGGGCCTTTGATGTTCAAGACTACCAGCCAGTGAACTGAAACGAGTGACTGCATGGACAAAAATAATCCTGTGTTCTTTTCTGCCACATTGTTATTGTTCTCACAACTTAGAGGAGTGAGAACATTTAACTTACTTAAGGCCCACTTATCCGCTTTTCTCTAAGAAAATGTCTGCCTGACAATACAAACTTAGCATGTGCTTAAAGTACATGTTACGGTGCTTCCAGGGAGTGAGAAAGTTAGCAATAAGAGTATATATAACAAATATAAGAAATAGCATAAGCATATAAAATCTAGCAAAATAGATTACCCACAGCTAATGAGTCTCTAGCAATGAGATCAAGGTCACTGCCACTGAGGTAAAAATTGCAAGCTAATAACAAGGATAATTAAATGAGTCCTGTGATGTCATTTTTAATGTCTATTAATATATGCAGCAGTAACAGGATTTTTTCCCTTAGGAATAAGCTGCGATGAGAGGGGCCCTATGGGGCAGGCAAGGCCACCCTTTAAAGAATTAGCAATGAGGTTATCTGCTGGGGGGGGGGCGCTGTTCACTGCCCCCCGATCTCCTTAGTGCGGTTCCACCAATTACCTTGTCGAAGGCAGGATGAAAGAACACAGACAAAAAAACACTGCGGCAGAGCACTGTGTCAATGCTTTCCTCTTCTTTTATCTGTGTTGCTTCATGATGCTTTCACCAAGATGCATTACCAACTCATCCAGCAAACCGCTGCTCTCAAGTGTTCAGTAATTCTAATGTTTCAAGACAGTCGCTCATATGGTCCATCATTTCATTCCATAGTTTAGCTCCAAATATTTAGTACAAGCTAGCGCCCACTGATCCGCACCCGCCATCTGAATATAATGCGGTAAATGAGTATGAAAATTGAACTTTCTGAGTGGCAACCAAAAGAGATGAGAGTGTACTAGTGGCTGAAATCCAGGGGGGCCATTTTGAGAAAGACACTTTAAAGGTGATACTAATGATATCCTCTTCATCAGTGCTGTGATGATTCATAAAAATGTAGCTGAAAGAGTAGAAGCATAAACGATTAAAGCATAACATTGCACAATTTACTCATTGCATTCATGTTGGGGGTATTATGAATTACACAACAAACTGCTCAGAGGAAAGTGGTATCCATAGAAGAAACTCACTCCAGCTAGACGGCAGGAATCGGAAGGGCAGTATCTTCTAGTATTGCATCGCACTGTACTGTCTTGCTTCTACTTACTTTCATTCTTGTTTTTCACCCTCAGCCAGTGTATAATATGCCCCTTGATATCATCGCTGAACACATGAATAGCGCTAGGCAGTGCCCGCACTCACCGCTCAGTATTATGGCAAGTGTATACCTTTGGGGGTCCATTCTCAAGTGGACGCTATATACTAGTATGAATTAACAAAAAAGAAGGGAGTAAAAAAGTATGGAAACCTTTTCAGTGTGATCAGTGCCAGGATGTGATAAGTGTAGTTTGAGATGGACTGCCCACCTCATTAAAGGTCAATAAGCTTTCAGGGAGGTATGAGGAGAAGAAACTTCAATGCTTGGCATGACCACATTTGATAAAGCAAAAGAAAAAGTTCCTTTTCTTGCTAATATTAAAATATTTACATTGATTTCAGGCAAGAAGAAACATAATGCACGATGTAAAGCCTTACTTTCAACTCAAAACTCACACCAAGCCATGCATACTGGTACTTCAAAAGGACTTCTCATCAGGCCCCATTGCAAATTTCGATTACACCATGTAAGTTTTAAGGTGTCAATGATTGAGGGACAGTTTTAACAACAGAAATTTTCAAGTGGGCTCATTGTTCAACACATACTGATCACAAGTTGGATTTTTTTGTGTAATATATGATAAATACAAAATACAGCACTGTAAATGATGTTACATTACCCAAAAACTCTGCTCACAAGTTCCTACATGCAATTAGGTTCTATGCCAACTTCAAGAGTCCCCATACATGGAGTAAAAAACAAGGTGCACAGAACACTTGGACTACATCAGACATGGAGAACTGCTTCGAGCAGTTTCCGTGCAATGATGCCACACATATTGCAACTGCATGTTAAAATAGTTATCTTTTCTTGTTTGCATGCATGCTTACTGCTGACAGTAGTTTTGAGCCTAAATATGTGCTGAAATGTGACAATTCGATTGCAAAAAATGATGATGATTTTTATACAAAATAGAAAGAGCAGTTCATAGTCAAACTGGTGCCTAAACTGAGCACTTCAATGAATACTCCACATTAGCTTTTTGCAGTAACCAACCATCTTACAGTAAGCTAAGAAATGCTGTGAACAAGGCCTGTCATGGAGAGTTTGTGCCGTATCGAAAAATAAATTGGGAATTACTTTTTATATATAGGCAGTTAAACAACGTTTTTCATTTTTACAAAAGAAAATAACACTTCTCACAAATACGACATTGGCACATCATAACATAGCTTCCAACATTCTGACATTAAGAGAAACAGAGGACTCGGGGCTTATAGAGATATTAAAACAAAAGATGTTACATATTTATGAAGTAATAAAAATATAAAAATAGCCAGAATAAAATAAACTAAGCAGTAGTGTGGTACTTAGCACCCCAGTTGTTTCTTGACACGACTGCCACACCTGAATGACTGAATGATTAACTTATTGACTGAGCAGCTGAGTGTACTCTCACATCCCAAAGGTAAGCAAGGGTTGCAAGCGATTGTCTAGTAAAAAGCTTGAAATAAAATATGAACTTATAATGAAAAACAAAACACAAACAATGCCAACCAAATACGAAAATTCACCTTTTACAACTGAAAAAAATAAAACAATTAGAAATGCATGCATGTCACGATTAGAGCACACCAACGTCCAATGTTTTATGATTCGATTAAAGCAAGCCAGATGATATTTATCCGCAGCATTAACCATCTGGCAGCATGAGAGGATCATATATAATGGATAATATCAGGAGCTGATCCCCACAAGTTTTGACTCCTTGTAATTTTGCTCCCCACATGCACTTCTAGGCCTGCCGCACATTTGATGTGCAGAACTGGCCATGTTTAGCTTGTTTAGAACAGTTGCAATGTAAAAGCAATGACAACAATGCAAAGTTTTTTTGTTTTTTTTTAAGGAATAGAGTTTATCCTGCAGCTGCTTAGATGAAACAGTGAAGATAGTGGAAGTATAAGGAATCAGTACCAGAACTTCAATAAAAACAGATGAAGATGCAGAAAAGGCAAAACTGATAGCCATGCAACTAAAGCGCAATGTGAAATGAAATGAATGAATGTCCGCTATCAGAAACAACTGCCCCTTTGAATTTGCCTCACAATATAAAACTGCATCACTGCATGGACTTGAGCACTGAGGCATCTAAAACAGTAACCTTAATGTTGTAGTAAAACTTAGGCATGCCAACAGGGACATGAGAGAAACCTTCTTCTAATAAGTTTTTCTAAACTACTATGCTCAACTTAACAGGTTCATAATATTAATCACTTTGCATGCCCTCTTCCCAATTCCTTTTTCTTTTTATGGCAAGTAGCCATGCTTATTTGGCCTGTTCAGTTAGCTCAACTGTTGTTCCAACCTTGCGTTTCGCCCCGCCGCGGTGGTCTAGTGGCTAAGGTACTCGGCTGCTGACCCGCAGGGCGCGGGTTCAAATCACGGCTGCGGCGGCTGCATTTCCGATGGAGGCGGAAATGTTGTAGGCCCGTGTGCTCAGATTTGGGTGCACGTTAAAGAACCCCAAGTGGTCTAAATTTCCGGAGCCCTCCACTACGGCGTCTCTCATAATCATATAGTGGTTTTGGGACGTTAAACCCCACATATCAAATCAATCAACCTTGCGTTTCATGCATAACATTTTTCGACAAGTGTGCTTGGAATATTCATTTTTAACCTGTACATCACAAGTATGTATAGAATTTCTTTTCTGTTATATAAAACTGGCTTTGTTTCTTTTCTAAAGGGACCATGGCACTCAATTTTATATCATTATTTGTGCTACGGGGGTTAATTCTTCAGCATTCACAAATAAGCAGGCGAAATTTTTGGTGCATTGGTTCAAGCACTTAATTTATACGTGAATAAATTAACAAATATGCTTGCAACCTGACTCGGGCAGCACTGGCACATTCGCAAGCCATAACATAACAAACAGCTGGCTTCGTGAGCATCTACATTCCAGTGAATCATATTTTTCTGTGGTCAGCAGCATGCAAAATTGAGATGTCTGAGCTTTCTTCTTCTTGGCACTGAAGCTTAACAATTTGCAGCCGCTGAAACAGTGGTAGAAGACGACAGCACATCTCCTTACTGCACATAATGATGAGATGGCAGTCAGCGGCAGTGGGTGAGAATGGCGACTTCAAGAACCTGTTCTTGCACTGAAATATTCTCTCACAGCACACTTTTCAAAATTGCATAGGCATAATAGACCCTCTTCTAGTTTTCACTTAAAACCATAAATTGTTGGGTAACCCTGTCATGGCCGCTTCAAATGGTCACAAAAATGTAGACTTCTAAGTTGGTGCTGTTTTCTTCTTTAAAAAATGTATGTTTTTGCAATGCATAAAAAAGTCAACCAAATTTCTGCATCCTGGAATGCTGCATTAAAGCTAAAGCATCTTCAATTAGAAAAAGAAGTGATCTTTCTAAGACATTTTCACATGGTGACAGTTTAAAACCCTGAAAAAGAGGAAAGTGTAACCTAACTCAGCTGCTACTGGTCAGTATTCTGAACTTGATTTGAATGAACACAGAGTTTAACCCATCACTGAAGGCATGAGAGTCAACCTCACTAACACCCAGTTGCCTCCTTTCAAGAGACCTGCATCCCTCTTCGAACGTGGGGAGAAAGTGCTGCTGATAGGTAGTCAAAGCTAGTTTGAACATGTGAGCCAAACATTAATTTTACCACTGCACGTGACAATACATTTACCATTACATTACAAGCTGCTAGAGAGACGGCCCGGTTTTTTTCTCGACAATTTCCGTGATAGAGTAACGCGAATATTTGAGCATTTGTGTTCTGCATAGTTACCACAGCTGCCACAGGGTGCCATTACGCATGCACTTGCACGTGATCATGCGGAAAGTGAGTCAGCATGTTCAAAGGAAAAAAACAAAAACGCAAGGTCATCACGTGTGCTGATGTAGCTTCTTGCCCCTTTGCCATTTTTCCCTGTGAAGCTTTCAGTGCACTTGTAGGGCAAAAAGAGAGAAAAGACACTTAAACCACGAAACAAATTCCTACAACTCCACAGATACTTTACGAGTTCGCACACTTTTTAAGGTAATAGATTTGCAAGGCAATAAACTCGGATAGTGAGGTGATTCGCTTAATAAAACTTGTTGTTGGGCTAGTTGGTTATACATCATATACTTAGAAATTTGGCGCAACCTCGACTCACGCAAACACTCACACAAGCACACACACTTACACCAGAGCAACACACACGACACGCAGCGCACACTACCAACTGTTTATTGCTCCTAACTGACCTTCTTAAATACGTACATCGAAATGCGCAAAGGCACAAACTAACAGAACTGCGCCCGTAGAAAACCAACATGGCGTCACCACACCACTAGGAACAAGTAAAAAGTAAAAAAATTAAAAAGTAAAAAAGTAAAAAAAGGGGGGGGTTAACACGAAAAGGAGATATAATCGCTAAACCCTCGCATCAAGGAAAGATATTTCTTGTTGATGCAACACCAAAGATGGCTCGCTGACACATATATCTTTATTCTTTTCTATATAATATGCTTCTAACAGCAAACGTGCTGATAAATTTGAGCTTCTCCCAAGAATCCTTGTATCCGAAAATCGTGGTTCACACCCACATGCGGCAATATGCGACACAAGATGTGCGTACTTGTCCTCGTTTTTCTTAACCTTTAGCGCATGCTCCCTAAGCCGGTCATTGAGGCATCGCTCGGTAATGCCAATGTACACGTTACCGCAGGAAAAAGGAATGGAGTATACAACTCCCATGGAACATTTTACGAAGGCATTCTCATGTTTTTTCACGCAACCGCGTCTCTTGCCATTGCGTCTCTTGCCATTGCAACCGCGTCTCTTGCCATTGCGTCTTGCCATTGACGATTTTTTAATTCTTTTAGACAAGCGGGGGCCATATACACCCCCCAATTACTTTTTAGATTTACAAGTAGACGCCTGTACTTCAGTGAGCGTGCGTGCGGATGAGGTATCATATGATGTGCAGCGTTCTTATTGTGAACATGTGCTTAGTGTTTTTAAAGATCATGGACGCGGACTTAGGTTCACTACCGAGGTACCCACAGAGGCTTGTCTCCAGTTTTTAGACCTCAAGCTACTGTGGGGTAGTGAACACTTTTGTTGGGTGTACCGGCCTAGAGTAAAGAAGGGGCTGTTGCCGTATGATTCTGCACACTCGAAATTAGTTAAAAGAGGTATTGCTTCGCTATGTCTAGAATCCTCGTTGATTAAGTCGTGTCCACACCACATGCGTACTAGTTTTTATGAACAGATCAGCCGATTGACGGCGGCGGGCTTCCCTTCGTCGGTCCTAAACGCGGTCGCCGAGTCACTACTGCAGAAGATGAAACGTGGAACACAAAGGGATAGAGCTACTTGGATCCTTCGGGTTCCAAGCTTCAAGTCGTGCCTTATGTGCACAAGCTCTCCCATAATATTAAGAAGGTTGCTGCAAGGCATGGTGTGGCTGTGGTCTTTTCTGCGCCAGAAAAGCTCGCCAAGTTATGTCCGCGTATTTGCAATGGCAAGAGACGCGGTTGCGTGAAAAAACATGAGAATGCCTTCGTAAAATGTTCCATGGGAGTTGTATACTCCATTCCTTTTTCCTGCGGTAACGTGTACATTGGCATTACCGAGCGATGCCTCAATGACCGGCTTAGGGAGCATGCGCTAAAGGTTAAGAAAACGAGGACAAGTACGCACATCTTGTGTCGCATATTGCCGCATGTGGGTGTGAACCACGATTTTCGGATACAAGGATTCTTGGGAGAAGCTCAAATTTATCAGCACGTTTGCTGTTAGAAGCATATTATATAGAAAAGAATAAAGATATATGTGTCAGCGAGCCATCTTTGGTGTTGCATCAACAAGAAATATCTTTCCTTGATGCGAGGGTTTAGCGATTATATCTCCTTTTCGTGTTAACCCCCCCCTTTTTTTACTTTTTTACTTTTTAATTTTTTTACTTTTTACTTGTTCCTAGTGGTGTGGTGACGCCATGTTGGTTTTCTACGGGCGCAGTTCTGTTAGTTTGTGCCTTTGCGCATTTCGATGTACGTATTTAAGAAGGTCAGTTAGGAGCAATAAACAGTTGGTAGTGTGCGCTGCGTGTCGTGTGTGTTGCTCTGGTGTAAGTGTGTGTGCTTGTGTGAGTGTTTGCGTGAGTCGAGGTTGCGCCAAATTTCTAAGTATATGAGGTGATTCGATTACTTGAAAAAGTGTTGCAAGGCAACTTTGGAGCTCCTGCTGCGTGCTGAAATTACCACTTTATTTGTTTGTTGTACGAATTACGGCACTGTGAAAGCTCGCATGACAAACACAATTATTTCTGCAGGATTGTTTACAAAAAATTTAAGCGAGGCCTATTATTGAGATAACGGTGGCAATTATTTTATTTGTTTATTCAGGGAAACATTAGACCTCATATGTTCCTTCTACCAAAGCAAGTCTAACACTGAGTCGTGAGCAGATAAACCAAATCAGACAATCAACAAACAGAATACATTCTGTCGGACAACCACTATAATGTGGCCTTGAGATGCGAAAAGATGCGAAAGGGCAATGTGATTTCACAAGCACTGTTAGTTAAATTACCCATCCAAAATACTAAGAATGCCACTTTTACTACGGAAAGTGGTTTACTATTGTGAACTTGACAACAGAGTTTTCCAAAAATACTTTATCAGTAATAACTAACTTTTTTCTCCTGTGTCCCTCGAAACTTCTATCAGGTAAACACAGACCTTGTAACAAAACATGGAGAACTGTACAGATTAATTGCAAGGAATGTAAAGAAAGTTGATGAGAGCAAATAAACTAATTTGAAATTAGCACAAAAAACATTGATTAATAGACACACTGATCCAGGTGAGGAAAACCAACATAAAGAGAAGCAAAAAGAAAAAGAGGGAGGAGACAAAAAAAAAGTGGAACTCCTTAAAGGGTCTCCAAGCCACATGAGAAAACTAACCACAGTTTTTGCATGCGGTGGTGCAGAGCACATGTATTTCGCTTATTGCTCTGTCCATGCTTTTTACCGGTAGAGCAAGATGCCAATAAGCCAAAATATGGAAGAGAACCTTCACTGGCCTATTGGAGGCACTGTGCATGCCTTTATTTTATGTGGACATAATCACTTTTTTTTTCTTTTTGCCAGATGTATGCTTATAGAAAATATAGATACTATGACAAAAATATTCCAATGTGTTATGAAATTTCACTATAACTAAGTTTGAAAATATCAGTCAGGATTCAGAACTTTCAGCTTCACTTGGAAAAAACCAACTACATGTGCTAGTGGTCTTCATCCTATACAAAGTAATTATGCATTGTTTTAAACAAAATTTGCTATGTAAAATATTTTTTCAGAATTTGGAACTCCCGCAACGTGTGCCATGTCAAGAGAAACCTTAAGATGCTGTGTATACTCTTTGCACTTTGTTTTGTTTTTATTGCAATAGCAATTATATGGACACTCTTGCCTAAAGTTTGCCACCAGTGTCAGCGTCACCGTCATTCACCGTATATGTATCTGTATCTATATTATGAAAATGCAAGAAAGAAAAATAATCCAGAAAAAGAGTCTCGCGCACGGAATCGAACCTCTGTATTGTGAGTGCAAGGCATTAGCCACTGCGCCACAAAGGAGCACCGCCTTCAATGTTCAAACGGCAAGCTATTCATATCTACCACTTACCCCTGGTGATCGGCATCTCGGGGGGAACTATCATGTTTTCAGCATTACCAGTGAGACCGCGCAATGAGCTCATGTCGCTACATTGTCACGGCGTGGCGGCGTGCACTCTCATGTCCCATGCGTACTTTGCCCTGCGGAGAGGGGGCAGGGTGGACGCTCACGCATGCGCTTGCTTATCTCGTGGTAATGACAATTGTACACTACGAGCTTCACCGGAATGATTCTGTTGTAGTTACCGGGTGCACAAAGGTCACTGCAAGTGTTGCACAGTCTCCGTTAGTTAAAGGGCCCGCTTTTCAAATACAGCGAATCAACAACTGAGATGCTTATTCGTGCTCCTCTGTACCAGTGGGTATGTTTTGTGCGTCATTTGTGCATGAGAAACGCGGGGCACATTTTCATCTGTTTGCCATTGTGCGCATGACCTTCCAACTTGGTGCTATCACATTAATTGCTTCCCCTTTGCGGCAAAGCAGTGACTTTTTGTTTTCCTCAAGGAGACACAGCTGCAGTGGCTGCCAAAATGTTAAACACTGAGGCTAATTGAAAAGCTATACATAACATGAGACTAAAGGAATGTGTGCGAAGATGTGGTAACAAGCACAGCACAAGTAGCAACTAGACTGCAACAAAATGAGTATGCTTATCTGTGAAATGATCAGGGTAAAAAGTAAAAAAAAATGTTGAATAAAATCTGCGTGACAGGCTGTTTTTTGGCCCTAAAAGTTTGAACAATGGTATGGTCTTCCTTTTTTTACCATAAAGTATGTGCATGTATGGCCTTTATAAAAACTGTCATCCACTAGTTGTGCAACAAGTGCTTTCATCAAGTCATCTGGTGAGCCCCACGTTACACACCACTCTAGCTGCTCAATAAAAAAACTTGAGAAAGCGTTTATCCTCCTTAACCCCTTCACCATACTGAAACACTCAATGAAACAGCAAAGGTCACCACAGGACGTTAAGCAAGCATTCGTTACTACACAAGAGGGGCACTACTTTCCACAAAAGCCTCATTTTTAATTATAATTCAGGCAATTTGATGCTCCATCCATTCAGCTACTAACCCAAGTAGATAATGATAATTAAGCTTTTTAAGTATGTTTTTTTATTTATTCTGCCTCTATTCAAATAAGAAGATCTGTATGTTCCAGTTTCTGCTTGGCGGGTGTTAAGGACCTACACATCAAGTTCAACCACTTCCAACACTTGGTGCAAGATTTTACTTGCCTCATACTGCGGCTTTCGCATGTAAAACTCAAGAAACTATTTGGCAAAGGTGGTGGGGGTTCTTGGTTAGGGTAATAAATCACCTCTCCAGTTTTGCTAGAAAACACATCCTGCAGAAAGTAGACACTGCTATGAATAGCTCAGCCTAATCTTGCAATTTTGCATGGCCAAGAATGTTTCGAAGCGAAGCACGAAGTTGCCATTTTATCAGGTGCCCTCTTTTCCAAAAGAGAACCATGCTCACTCTCTTTGGAGCTGATGGTGCCTGTTATTGGATGCCGAACAATAGATAGCATGCTATAGGTCAATAGCCAACATTACTCAATAGTGGCAACTCAGATGTGGTGCCTGTGATGGGGTGCTGCCACATTTCGGCACCATGCTCCATATTAGCCACATCCTTTTAATTTCAAACTATGTTCAATGCACATTTTTTGCAGTATTGAGGTTTCCCTACAAACACTGAACCCTGATCAAACACTCCTTAACAGATCTTCTTTCATTCATGACAAATGATAAGCAGACTAGGTCATCTAACCACTTGTGCGTTTGACTCAGCAATAAATCATATCAGCTAAAGCCAACCAATTTACGAGTTATGCTTGACTAATGACAATGCAGTTGTACCAACTGGCTTTCCCTACCCAAACTTTAGGTAGTGACTTCCCCATTCTAAATGCAAATAATCTCAAGAATCACACGTTCTCATCATTATAAAAATCACACAAAGTAAGCCATCAATATGTGTCATAAAAATGAGCTTCTAAAGTCTAAACTTTTTTGGTTAATGACAAGAGTGTTACCAGCATGTGGAAGAACAGTCCACATTTTCTTTTCACATGTGTTACCCACACATAGCAAAGCCATGTAGACATGTGAAAAGGATGGTGCTGTTGAATGTCCCTGCCAAAGTTTAGCACCAAAGTTTATAGTGATTAATACTTTGGTACCTGCCTACTCCCTTGCGTCTGATCCTGGCTTTCAATAACAAGAGCCAAGGTGAGACATTTGCACAGGCCCGAGAAAAAAAAGAATGGCTTGATGGATTCAGCCTAGTTAAGGCAGTTCAGGTTCAAAACCAGGTCACACACTACACTGTCACCAATCACTTGGGACGAATCTTCTCGTAGAAAAACTGCTGGCCAAGCTCAGTCAGCTGCCCATCTTGAGTTGCTGCTAAAGTCCGCCTTTTGGTAAACTCAAACTGCTCAGCTGCAAATTCATAAAATTCGTTCTCCATCTGCCAGATTGGCGAGCTCTTGAAGTGTTCTATGGTCTCCTGGCTTGGTTGTACCTTGTTGAAAGTTTTCCGAAGATGTGACCTCTTTCCTGCATCAAGAGAAATAAAAAAAATATCAAAAACAGCTTACAATATGTGTCCTATAGAAATGATCACTCAAAAAAAAAAAAAAAAACGCGAGGTTAGCGGTCGTACTGATGTCTTTGCAAATTCTTTTTTTCCTTTTACCATTCGCGAATAGAATAGGTTAGATGCGTGTGTTGTTGATCTTCCATTCGATGCTTTTTTTTATATTAAATGTATGTAAGGAGAGGTTGGTGCCAATGCGTGGCGCCGGCTACTCCTCTTCTCTTGCACAAAAGTCAACATCGCACATTTTGTAGCAAACACAAGGCTATACATGTCATAGCACAACACTTACACAATGAGTTCACGTTTTACCACACTGAGTGTCCACACCACACAGAAATGAGTCCACACTGCATAGAACTGTGTCCGCACCACGCTGAGTTTGTAAAAAAAAAAACCACACAAGTAATCAGGCCAATTCAAGTGTTCACACAAAAAACGTGAAAGTTCAATAAAATGTCTAAGGTGATTTTGTCGCTTAAATGCTGACATGTTTTCAGAAAGGTTTTCCCAAAAACATCGTAGTGAAACACGAAAATACTGTTTTGAAACATACCGCGGCTAACATTTGTTTTTTGTTTAGTACTTTTGAGCTATTTCTGATTCCTCCAGAAAGTGAACGACTGCACGTGCTGCAGTGGCTTGTAGCTTTCCTTTTGGCCATAGACCCAAGATTTGTGCAATTGATGGAGGTCGCTTATCCAAAGAATTGAGTTTTTGAAAAAGGTTTGTTTCAGGTACGTCATGATTTTTACAATGCAGAAGAATATGCTCCACGTCTTTTTGAGCTTCTCCACATGAGCACTAGGACTGCCAGCTTTCCTTATTCTATACAGGAAAGCCTTCGTGTAGGCTGTACCAACTCGAAGCCTATGGATGACTGTTTCTACCGATCGGCTAACCTTTAACGGAATATTCAATTCTATACCGGGATCAATGTTATACAACAGAGAGTTTTGCGCACCATTTTCGAACCAGGTTTCCTTAGACAGTTGACAGCTCAGCTTATTTATTAGACAGCGTGCATCGCTCATCGATAGAGGTAGCAGTGATTTATTATTTTCTTGGTGTGCTGCATGTGCAATGTGATCAGCTATGTCGTTTCCTGTGATTCCACAGTGGCTTGGCACCCACTGGAACATTATGATGTGGTTTAAATCTTTTGCTATAGCGTACGTCCTCTGTATTTCATATGCGAGCTCACTAGCTTTTTTTTCCAAGCTGATTCCTTTTAAAGAAACTAATGAGGACTGTGAGTCACTGATAACTACCGATCGAAGTGGACCTGGCTGTAAACATTTGAAGCGTAAAGCACAGAGTATTGCATAGAGTTCTGCCGTTGTGAATGTTGTGGAATGGCTGAGTTTAAAAGCTTTTATCGCTTGGTATGCAGGTACAAAGAATGCTGACGTAGAGCTTTGATTCAGACACGATCCGTCGGTATACATGTGAATATAGTCTTCATAGTTAGTATAAAGATCTGTTAAAGTTAATTACTTTATTACGATTATGGGCAGACCGTTCTTACAATTTATTCCCGGAATCGAAGTTCTATTATCTTGGATAGAGAGTCGCCATGGTGGGTGGGATGCACATGGAGGCCAGTATTCGTGCGTAGGCAGTAAACTCTTGAATTCTACAATAGTTTTATGAATTCTTGCAGCTGATCTCTGCTGAATAGCTCGGTATAGGGGATGATTAGCGAGTTGAGTTGCCAACCGAAGATCATGCCGGCAAGTTTTCGTAAATCTCATAGCATGGAAAGTCGGTTGGCGAGACTCCGCAATTACTAAAGCACTGGCAGATGCTCGCAGTACACCAAGACATATACGGAGGCTTCTGGCCAACAATCTTTGAATCCTCTCCTCTAAGTTACGTCTTTGAATCCTCTCCTCTAAGTTACGTGATATCCCATGTAAAACCGGGGCAGAGTAAGCTATTCTTTGTCGAATTATTGCTGAATGTACACGCAATAAAGAAGAACATGAACTACCCCATCTCACTCCAGTCAGTCGACGTAATATATTGATTAGGGAGTTGACTTTGTCCTCTAATGATTTTATCAGTGGTGCACAAGACAGACGTCTGTCTAAAATAACCCCTAAAAATTTGTGCTGTCGCACAAGTTGTAAGCGCTGAGAGTCTATCTGAAGTTTGAATTTCTTAAGGCATTTCCTTGTGAACGGAAGTACAGATGTTTTCTAATGGGAAAGAATCATGCCTCTGCTCTTAAAAAAGCCATTGATTATTTATTGTCAGCCCATCTTGAAGTTTTTGCTGATTTGCTTGAATGCTTCTTTCTGATGCCCAAATGCACAGATCGTCTGCATATATGGAATACTTCAAACTGGTAGGTAAGATATGGGACATTACAGCCATAACGCAATTAAATGAAAATGGGCTTAATACGCTACCCTGTGGGACTCCTTGACTAACTTCATGCTCTTTACTTTTACCGTCAGCCGTGTCAATGAAGATTTTCCTGTCTCTTAAGAATTCTGCAATCCATCTTAGTGTCCTGCCTACTATTCCAAACTGAATTAAACCGTGTAGTACATGAGCGTGGCTGGTTGTGTCAAATGCTCGCTTTATATCTAAAAATACTGCAATGACGATTCTTCCACAGCTCCTCTCATGATCTACATAAGTTACAATGTCTAGAATGGCATCCATGGTGCAGCGGCGTTTACGAAAGCCTGCCATATTTTCTGGAAGCACGTTCGTACATTCCACCCATCACTGAAGTCTAGAGTCTATCATACTTTCAATAAGTTTACGAAGACAGCTAGTCAGGCTGACAGGACAGAAAGAATCTATGGATAAAGGCGTTTTTCCTGGTTTGAGAATTGGGACCACTGTTGCAACTTTCCAGGAGGGTGGAAGGCACTCTGTTGTCCATGCATCATTAAATATTTTCAACAAAGTATATGTGGCCACAGGACCCAGGTTTTTTAATGCTGCATATGTTATCCCATCAGGGCCAGCTGCTGTCCTCTGTCGGCACACTGCAAGAGAATTATTTAATTCTTGAAGTGAAAACGAATGATCTAGGTCATCATGATGTCTATTGAGAGAAAAAGTAATCAATGCTTTAATATCCCCAACCGACTTAATGTATTCAGGTGTGTGCCCGGCTGCACTAGGTCGTGTAATATGCTGACAAAATTCGTCCGCAATGGTTGTTTCCGGTACATTCTTCACTAAAGCTAAGGCTCTAAATGGTTGTTGATGTGTTACTGTCCCATTTAAAGAGCGTAGCACATTCCATAACTTTGACTCGGGTGTAAATGGCGTTAGCGAAGTGCAGAATTCCCACCAGCGCTTTTTGCCTAGTCTATCCAGTTGTCGTCTCATGCAGTCATGCATTCTTTGACAGTCGCGGTAATCTTAAAGTAGACCCGTGCGTCTGTATTTTCTTTCAGCTCTGCGGCGAATGGCCCTAAGTCTTTCGTATTCAGTGTCTACTCCAACGTAACCTTTAGGAATTTTAACGAACTTGGAACACTGATTTAATTTGTTTTCTACGAGTGAGACTAAGTTGTCAGTGTCAGTAACAGTATCAGCTTGATGTGATTAACGAAATGCTTGCCAGTTAGTTATCTTTGCTGAGGGCCTATATTTAGTAAAGCGTAGTTTTGGATGCTGTATTAGGATAGGTAAATGATCACTACCCCTTGTTTCAATGTCTGTTCGCCATGACGCCCCAGATGCAATATCATGTGAGCAGAGCGTAAGGTCTAGGCAACTCGAGTAATTGAAACCCCGTAGGAACGTCACTGAACCGTTCTTTAACAAGTATAATGAACTATCCTGAATTGCTTTTTGTAGGTCCTTTCCGCGATGATCGCAGTACGCACTTCCCCACGTGACATTGTGAGCACTGAAATTTCCGCAATACATCACAGCTTTCGTGTACGTCCAGAAAAGTACTGTCAATGTAGAAAGCGAGATATTTGTGGAAGGCTGGAGATAAACGCTGACTACTGTTATATTTACTCGACCAAATCTAACCTCACATGTTACATATTCTGGAAAATCCGATGATGTAGCATTCAACTGTACTGATGGCAGATCTTTCCTCACACATATCATCGCTCTGCTCGGTCCTGTAGATCTAGAGGACATATACACAAACGTACTTTGATAACCGAAAAGTGGTGTCTACCCCGGCCTCTGTAATACATAACACTGGAAAGGAGCTCTGAGCCTTAAATTTTTGGAAGTCTGCACACTTAGGGCGAATACTATTCGCATTCCATTGGAAGATTGTGAAATTTTGATAACAATTATTTATGTTTTGCCTGCACAGTGACTGTTATGACTAATTGTAACACTACCTGTTCCATCGACAACATGGATTTGACCTGAGGAAGATTGTTAGCCTGTGGGATCGCGGCTAGTATGGCTTTTAAAGCTGAGAATAACATTGGTATGACAAGACATTGGTATACTGGACGCGATGTGCTAGTGCTTTCTCGGATGTTACCCAGTGGTTACTTTTCTCTTGAGGTCCCTCCTGAGACTCTTGTCGAGCTTGCTGCTGGCTTGTTGATGTCCCCGCACTTTTCCCTTGCTTTCGTTGTCCTCTTGCAGCTTGCGCGTACGTCATTACATGGTCCTGACGTTTAGGAGCTTGCGGTCGAGGAGGCCGCGCAGGGTTCATGGTGTTCCTGTTGGGCTCAGGCGTGTCATGCTGTTGCGTGCGACCGTAGATGATGTCATGTTGATATTGAAAAGAAGCCGCCTTGTTCTGTGGGCATCTAGAGAACGACGCAGCGTGGGGCCCCTTGCAATTGGCACACTTAGGTTGTGTTATCGATTTGCAGTCCTTGTGATGGTGGTCTTCGGTGCATATTTTGCAGCACCTTGTTCCTCAGCAATTTTTCGCCAAATGTCCGAACCTCTGACAATTATAGCAGCGTCTTGCTGGGCCCAGATATTCCTCAACTGGATGGCTTGT